AAGAAGAAGAAGAAGAAGAAGAAGAAGAAGAAGAAGAAGAAGAAGAAGAAGAAGAAGAAGAAGAAGAAGAAGAGTAAAGCTATTGGGAAATACTGTCTAGAAATTTAGACAAATCCACACAAAGGCATGATGTAGCGGTTGCCACCACCCATGACTGATTTTACTACAAACTAAAGGGAAAATGCGTTGAGTGACATGGTAAATAGCCTCTTTCCTCTCTCCTCCCAGTCTATCTACTTAATCACGCATGACTGCAGCCAGGGTGATGCAATCGAATCGGTGTAGCTCCCTTATCTAGGTGAAACGACACAGCCTGCCCTTGAGGCCGAAATAAGGCAAGGCTGTGGAGTCCTTTGGGCATTAGAAGAGCAGGGTGAGTCTTCCCACAGGCCCCCCAGGGTGTCTGAGGTACCTAAGCCCTCCAGTAACAGACAAAATATGAGCTCTAGGATGCTCGATTGTTTTATGCGCTACTTATGCTCCACATTTATGACCTAAGACCCTAATAAAACACTCAGTTTCCAGTCCCCCTTACCTGCTATGTCCCAAATGTCCAGAGATCTGTGTGTTAGGCGTAGGGGTTGACACCTTTGAATGGTCCAACCCACCTTTGTTCTAGGTTTCCCACCAACACTGTCAGGATGATGTCTGTCTGTTGGGGACACTTGATGTGTGAAGTTCACACATACAGGTGTCGTGAACTCTTCCAGACCACCAGCATAAAACCATCACTTTTGTTAAAACCTCAGCAGACTCTCTCACCCAAAGAGTTGTTATTTCAGCAATATAACTGTGAAACAGCTACCTAGGAACATTGTCTAGCAGAAAAGAGAGAGCCCCAAAAGTACAATCTATGTGAATTTCACTATTATTCTCTAAGCACCAGATAGAACATTCTAGCTGGGCGGTGAAGACGCACGCCTTTAATCCCAGCACTCAGGAGGCAGAGGCAGGCGGATCTCTGTGACTTCGAGGCCAGCCTGGTCTACAGAACTAGTTCTAGGACAGTTAGGGCTGTTACACAGAGAAACCCTGTCTGGGAAACCAGAAAAAAGAAGAAGCAGGAGGAGGAGGAGGAAGGAGGAAGGAGAAGGAGAAAGAGGAGAAGGAGAAGTAGAAGAAGAAGAAGATTCTAGAAAGTGCTCCCAGATAGCTCATTCTCAGGATAATAAGGAATCCGATTTGAAAGTTTGGATGGAGGGCTGCCATCCTTTGTGTTCAGAACATAGCAGTAATTTGTCCCTCCTAACAGCTTGCTAGACTCTTCCACCATATAGCATCTGAGGGTCAAACTCAGGGACAGCGCTGTGACTGTGGCACGATCCTTTACTTGCCGAAGCATCTTGATGGCTCAGGCATTCTACTTCAGAGTCATAAGTCTGTAAGTTCCTACTCGTTAAATATATTCCACACAAGATCATTGTGAAGTCCTTGAAGCTTAACTCATATGCCCACTTTTGTAAAAGAAAATTGTCTTTATTTCTTAATGTTGATATTTACTTCAAGAAAAAGAGAAAATGGAAGACTTAACTTTGACATACTTATTTTTCACACAGCACGCCTGGGAACTGGGGCAAATAGGCAAGGAGCTCTTCAGATTTAATACTGCATTTAAAAATAGATGGAGGCTTAACTTCATTTCTATTTATAAGCAATGAGTTTTCTGGATGTGTGTGCTGGTCACCAAGGGTACGCTCACTGAAAACATGAAGTCTGGGCTGAGAGGCAATGGGACAGACTTAGTTGACTGCCCAGGGGAGGCCTCACCCTCTCTGAGGGTGGGGGCAAGAGAACTTGGGATTATTATGTAAAAATTTAATTAATTAATTATAATTAATGATAAAATTATGAACCCCTTTCTATCTTCAAGTCAGAACAATATTAGTCTATATTTTCTTCTAAGGTTTAAAATTTTATTTTTGACATACAATTTCTGTGCTTTGTCTAGAATTGGGTTTTTTAGTGCATTTTGAGCCAGATCGCCAACTCAGTTTTATTTATAATTATAATTTATTCCAAGCTACTCTACTTAAATATCTCTTCCTTTCTCTGTTGCTCATCTCTGTCACCCTATCATAAGAAAATTTCAATGTCTACAAGAAACATGAAATAGCAGTCTCAAGAAATGCAATCCAGGACTAGGGAGATAGCATTTGAGAGCCACTTAGTCGACCTTTCTGTTCTTTTGAAAATCTCTCTAACCCTGTGCTACAACCAATTTTGCTATTTACTTTCGTTGTCCTAGGATGGAGCCAGCTTGGTCTTGGTGTAGTATCTTTTCATAGAGGCCTAGATTTGCTTTTCTAATAGTTTATTATCCATCTACCATTGTAATGGTAACTTTGATCCATGACTTTTCCTGTCCTGTTCTCTTCTTGTGTGTGTGTGTGTGTGTGTAGTGTGTGTGTGTGTGTAGTGTGTGTGTGTGTTCCACAGCATGCATGTAATGCTTGCGACAGAAATCAGAAGATTGCTACCAGGGAGTTTGTTTTCTCCTTCTACCATGTGGGTTCTGGAACTGAACTCAGTTCATCAAGCTTGGCAGCAGTTGCTTTTACGACCGGCACTATCATGTTAACCTTGTCAAAATAGTTCCTATCCATTTCTCTCTCCAGAAACACACATGAGCATAGAAGCATGTGCACATACATGCCGTTTACCACTCCCTCACTGCTTTCTTAGTATTCCCTGAACCAGATATGCCTCATAACAGGAGTGTGTGCAACTGATTTGTTAAAGTCAGTCCACATTAAATTCTATTTTGAAGTCAGGAGTGATGGTTATAATCCTAGTACCCTGGAGGCTGAAGCAGAAGGATCATAAATCCAAGGCCACCTTGAGCTACGTAACGAAACTATGTCTTATAAAAATTAAACTAAACTAAACGAAGATGCAAAACAACAACAGCAAAAAAAAATCCCTTTAGGTAAAATTTGCACTGTATTTCTGGTGAATAAGGTTAATGTTTAAAAACTCAATAGGGCAACATGTTAATATGTTTTCACTTCCTGTTACATTTTAGATACCTGTCACCTCTGTTCTTCCTTCATCTTAGTGCCCACACAGCTGACGTGACCAAGCACTGAAGCAGGCCAGTTGCATCAACTCTCTGGTAGCTCTGCCTTGAGATAATGCTGAGTCCAAGGCCTTGGTGTCTGGAGAAGGCTCTGGTGTCTTTGTGCTCTGTGTCCTTTTCCTTCGGGCCTCCACTGAGTGTCTAGGGCTTCTTGTCTGGATGAATGCTGGAAGTTCTCACATGCGCTCAGAACTAGGTCTCACACCTCCCTTCTCTGGGGCCTCTCACTCCCTGATGTTGATTTTCTCATTCTTCTAGTTAGTAGATCAAGTCAATACAAATATGTGGCTAGCCCATCCTGTGCCAAGCTGCTGGGGATGGGGAGATGACACTGTCTGTACTTGGAAACAGACCCCAGTCAGCCCTGCTGTGTGTCCAGTTTGAGACTCACTGCTGCCCATATGGTGTGGTTTAGCCTCAAATCGGACCTCACAGGTGCTGATGATATTTGGAGCTCACCACATCCCTTTGACACTATAACTTTTGACAGCAAAACAACACATCCAGGACCATCTTCCACTAACTCCGGCTTCCTATCTGATCCTGCTGCACCTTGCCAAGATCCTGGCTGAGGTTTTGGGAGTTCTGTTGGATCCTAACCTTTGTAACTTTACTGTTCACTAAAGTATTGTAACATGATGGCCAGCTTGTTGGGGTATCTGTCCCGCCTGGTATCCACAGCTGGCAAGCCCCAAAGAAAATCACACAGAGAACTCTATAAGATTATAAACTGGTTGGTCCATTAGCTAAGGCTTCTTATTAGCTCTTGTAGCTTATATTAACCCATTATTCTTATCTATGTTAGCCACGTGGCTCGGTATCTTTCTCAGCGGGGCAGGTCACATCTTGCTTTTTTGGAGTCTGGGCAGGAGTGGGAGGAATGGACTTCCTCCTTCCTAGAATTCTCCTGTTCTCATCGCACTGCCTATACTTCCTGTCTGGTTGACCCGCCTATACTTCCTGCCTGGCCAATCAGCATTTATTTAAAAAATGATTGACAGAATACAGACAATTCTCCCACACCAGAGTATCTTTACACACATTTCCCCAAGGTAGCTTTGCATCTTCAAACAACTCTGTGAGATGGTAAGAGAGGCTCTGTAAATTTCTGTTTCTCCAATGAGGAGATACAAAGTCTGATGACTTAGTGGGAGTGGCTTAACTAATGAATGACGCCTTTAGGACTTGAACTCTGGCCAAGTTTTTCAGTGTTTTCTCCATGCAGTGAAGCTTAGGGGAGACAACTTCCTCTTTGAGCAGACTTCACATTTCATTTCAGAAAGCAGGCATCTTTCTTCCAGTGTGAAGAGTTAATGGACCTGGAAGCCCAGGAAATACTTTAACCCCCAAATAACCATTCAGAGGGCATCAATATAAGATAGAATGTTGTCAGAAGGATATAAAGGACCTCTGAACTGCACCCTTCCATGTCTCACCAGACCCCATGGTACTCTGAGATATGGGCAGCCTCAGTTCACAGGACACGTGGCCGTGTTAGCTGGAATCACCAGTCGGTGTTGGCACTATCCTCAAAGGTCTTCCACAAGCCCTCAGCAGAGAGTTGAAAAGCGGAAGGAAAAAGGAAAGCATTATGCCTGGTGACAGCTCAGACAGTGTACATAGACAGGGAGATGTGATTCCCGAATTTGTGCACCTTCTGAAAGTCAACAGCAAATTGCCTTGAATGTCTTTTTCTTTCTTTTCCTTTTATTTATTTTTGTATGGGATGGGGGTAGGGGACAGGTTTTTTTCATCAGCATGGAACTTACCAAGTAGGGATAGAGAGGCAGAGAGCCCAGAGCTGTGACTGTCCCTCACTTCCCAAAACTGGGATTACAAGCAAGCACAATCATATCTTCTCTGACATTGATTGTAGATTAGGTCGATCTGTTTGTACAGTAAATACTTTTACATAAGGAAATTTGATAACATGATTTCGAATTGAAATCCAGGAGTAGTGATCACAAGAAAAACCACATACACATGCACCCCACACACACACTACACACAGAGAGACACACACAGAGAAACACACACACAGAAAGACTCATACACACAGACACACACACTATTCAGATGAAACATGATATTTTGTTGTTGTTGTTCTTCACAATAAGGTCTCTCTACGTAGCCCTATCTGTACAGGAACTCACTACGTAAACCAGGCTGGCCTCAAATTCTCGGATAAGCACTGTTTCTCCCAAATACTATCTCAATATTTACTTCTAGAGAAACTCCAAATGGTCTTAGACATTGAGTTAGGCAATCAGGTGATAACAAAATGCAATCTTCTTACTTGAAAGAAATTCACATTTATGACAAACACTTGAAGTCAAAATGACAAAGTCATATCCTCCACTGAATAAAACAGCACCTAGAAAAGAGCACCTAAATCAAACTTGATAGTGTGTTTCCCTGATTAGGAGCATTTAGGCTCAAGTCCTGAAGAATGCTCAGGTGCTGGCTAGCTGATTCAGGTACCACAGGCTGTGGGAAGGCAGCTATGGCAGTCTTGCATTATGCATGAGAGCACAATGGATGTTGAAAACATCCAGTAGAGGAGAGTCCAGGGTGCATGCCACTAAGGGTCTTGTGGATTTGGGCTTAGTTGGAGATCTGTGAAAAACAAGTCCTGTGGTGGTGGTATACACATCTAGTCCCAGCATCTGGGAGTCAGAGGCAAGTGGATCTCTAGTAGCTGGAGGCTAGCCTGGTCTACAGAGGGAGTTCCAGGGTAGCCAGAGCTACACAGAGAAACCCTATCTCAAAACAACAACAATAACAACAAAGCAAAACTGGTGTGGACCATTCCACTGCAGTTTGACAAAGTTCCAGCATTTCAACATTGCAGACCACACTGTTGTAAGGAAAGGGCCCCTTGTTTGTCCCGGCTGCCTGCCTAGCTTACACCCAAATAACCACACAGAAACTGTATTAATTAAAACATTGGTTGGCCATTAACTCTAACTTCTTATTGGCGAACTCTTACATATTAGTTTAACCCATCTCCATTAATCTGTGTATCTCCATGTGGCAATGACTTACCAGAGATTCTAACCGTAGTCCATCTCAGGCAGAGGATCCATGGCTTCTCTGACTCTGCCCTTCTTCCTCCCAGCATTCAGTTCTGTTTTCCACACCTACCTAAGTTCTGCCCTATCAAAAGGCCGAGGCAGTTTCTTTATTCATTAACCAATGAAAGCAACACATAAACAGAAGGACCTTCTTGACCACCACACTTCTCCAGCACCTTTTTACTTTCATTTGCAATGATTCCCAATATTAATGTCTTGCTGTACTGATCTGTCTTGTGAAATTACCTGGCGCGAGTGAAAATGAAGCGCAAGCATGAAGCACACAACAAACCCACTTCAGAGTTTATTAGAGACACGTGAACAGGCCTGGGGAAGTCGGTGTGCAGAAAAGAGAACTTATAAAGGCCTTCCGGCTTTTAAAGGCTGGCGAGCGCATGCGCATAGGGGGTTGACGAAGCTGCATCATACATGGATGGTGGAGTTCACGCACGTGCACAAGGGCTTACGTAGGTGATGCAGCCATGCCACATGTAGGTCACGCAAAATCTTTTAAGGCCCCCGGGATGGCTAAGTATTTTTCCTGAGTGCTTGTCTGCAAATGTGTAACCCTGGAACCTGGAAGCTCCCCTCCCCACTCCGCTGAGGCAAGTAGATCTTCCTTCTGCTTCCAGCCTGAGCTTTCTCTTTTCCACCTCTCCCCTAAAGAGGTATCTTCTCATCTCCTCTCCCCCACTCCATTTCTCTTTCTCTCTCTCTGCTCTTCCCTCTTTTCCGCTTTCCCCCTTTCCCTTTCCCCTCCATAACCCACTAAATAAATACCCATGTTCCCTGCAAGGCATGCCTATGGTCTCTGTCTCTCACCCACGGCAGCTCCTCGTGGAATGGGTTGTCCTGCCGACAACCTTCTGAGGTCTCTCACCTGCTACTTTCCACCTGCCTGGGACCCACAGAGGCCTCGGATCATGACCTATGGCTGCCCCTCATGGCCTGCCGTGGTCTCCCACCCACCTCTGCCCTAAACCACCCACAGTGGCCCACTGCCGCCCCTCGGGGAACGGCACAGCATTTTACCACTACACTTGCCCTTTGGGAAATTTTGTGTGGGCTTTGGTAAAAGGATAAAAATGTATATTATGGTAGCTGTTTGGGTGAAGGTTTCACTCCAGCCCCTAGCATCCATATATCCAAAGAGTCTGGAATGGAAGGATGGAGGCTCCAGTCCAAGCCCCCTCCCTACAGAGTTGCCTCAGTCCAGACTCCCTCCGTGAGAAAGTCCACCAAAGAATGACCACTCCCCAGGGATGCTCAAGACCAGTTCCACAGGGTATTTAAACTACCCCTCAGAGAACAAACGTGTGCTCTCTTCAGCTATTCCTGGGGCTACTTAGGAATGCTGTGCTCAGAATAAACCTGGATTTATTGATTTGGTTTTATTGGCTTATTACATCTGTGGTGGTGAATTCCCATTAACCAGAATTTAAACTTAACCATAGGCTCTCTAAACAAAATAATTCTTTGGAAAAAAGTCCTCACCACCACAGAACCAAGAATTCTATTGTGCCCTCCTAATTACACCAAGAACAGGAACATTAGAGATGTACTAGACACACCTGATCCCAAGAATGAAATATCTACAATTCAGATCCAGAGCCTGAAGCCATTAAAGGCAAGAGTTCAGTTAATACAGAGCAATCAGAATGGTACAGTATAATGGGAAAAGAGTAAAGTCTCAGGACCTTCCCTTTTGGGAGCATTATGAAGGGAACAGACCCAAAACCAAAGTACAGTGTCCGCTCCCCAAGAGTCCCTTTCCCAAGGTCAGGCATTTGGATAAGAGTCTCCATTCCCTTGGGAGCTTTAGGAAAGTTCCTTCTTATCTCTAGCAAGAGAAACTCACAGCCCTTTCCTTAAAAGGTGACTGGTACCTATTGTCAAGGTCAATGCTGGATTCCTCAACTCCTGATCTCAAGCCACAACCCTGCTCACGTGTTCCTTGTCTCCTTGATCTCAAACCACACCCCAACTCACATGTCCCTGTCTCCCATTAAATCCCATGTACAGTATAATAACGTAATCTTTTCTCAATTAAATGTTGCTGGCAGTCAACCTGACTCACCCTCACATTGTGTGCTCCCCGCCCCCACACACTCCACACATCCTCTTTGGAACCTGACTCCTGTGGAAGCAAAATCTTCAGCAAAAAACACGTCCTGTGGGCAGTTACATCCTATTCAAAGTTCAGGGGACAAAGATGTCACTTGTGTCCTTGTCCCTAGAAACCGCCAAGTTGAGAGTATTCCATGACTCTGGGAGAAGAATATGATTAAACATTTAAAAAGATACTGTAATGGTAAAAGTAAAATGTTACAGATCCCCAAGTGCAGCAGGGTACCAGGCAGGAAGCCGCATGGTGGGTAAGAGACTGAGATGGATAGACACGCCACAAGATGAGGCTGCAGATCTCAGGAAGGCAGCTAGGCCTGAGCAGGGAGCCACTTGGCAGGTGAGAGACAGAGACATGGATAGGCACTCCATGCAGAGTGAGGTTGGATATTTATTTAGTGTGTTATGGAAGGGAAGGAGAGAAGGGGGAAGAGCAGAGGCAGAGAGAGAGAGAGAGAGAGAGAGAGAGAGAGAGAGAAAGAGATAGAGAGAGAGAGAGAATGGGGAA